GGCGACGGGGCCGCAAAGGGGGCCGTGAGGGGCCTGGAAGGGCGGCGACGGGCCGCTAGGGGCGGCGACGGGGCCGCGAAGGGGCCGCGAGGGGCCTGAACGGTCGGCGACGGGGCCGTTAGGGGCGGCGACGGGGCCGCAAGGGGCGGCGACGGGGCCGCTGGAGGCGGCGAGGGGCCTGGAAGGGCGGCGACGGGCCGCTAGGGGCGGCGACGGGGCCGCGAAGGGGCCGCGAGGGGCCTGAAAGGTCGGCGACGGGGCCGTTAGGGGCGGCGACAGGGCCGCGAAGGGGTCGCGAGGGGCTGAGAAGGGCGGCGACGGGGCCGCGAGGGGTGGCGACGAGGCCGCTAAGGGTCGCGCGAGGGGCACGCCACGGGGCGTGCAGCACACACAGTAGCAGCGGAAGAAGTTAGGTGGGCCCACAAGCCAGGAGCGTAGATGCTCTGATAGTATGTGAAAAAATGAGGAATGAAGTAGGGAGGGGATTGCACTAGCAGCAGTTGGCATACATATAGGAAACCCTAATTGGGTTGTACTCGCTATAGAGTACCCCACTGCAGGCTAGACAATTATAACATTCTGACAAGTGGAATGTGGGCTCTGATGTTATAATTGAAGGATCGTAGTGGATAAAGCTGCCAAGTATATGGAGAGAAAATTGTGAAGTCTCTCTAGTGACCTTGTTAATGAACTGAGAGAGAACAAGATGATTATAAGGTAAAAGTACAATAGTATAAATTGCAAACCTAGCTAGTCATGTACTCTGAGGGATACATTCCCTTATTAACTGAATTGCATTGCTATAGTAACCACGACTATTGCCATTCTAGACAGTTACCATGTTGCATTTCGCAACTGCCTTGTGCGGTTACTGGGCAGTCAAGGGTCACGACCATTGACTGTCTTCGACTGTTGACCTTCGGGTGACCCTCGACCTTCCGCGTGCTCTATATGAGCTATTGCAGTACCGATACATGCGTTTACTTCGCTATGAGGTGACGCGAGAGTGGAGAGCCTTCGGGAATGTTTATGATAACCTTTCGGTTATTCCAACACTCCCCTTTATTCCTGAAGGTGAGGCACGTGGGACTTCTTGGTGATCCCGCAGAGATTGGCGCAGTGCTGAAAATGCTGACGTGGCAGTTTCTTTGTCAGAAAGTCGGCCGCCATGTCACCAATTGGGCAGTACGTGAGCTTGACCTTGCCTTTGTCAATTTCGTCTTTGACGAAAAAGTAGCGAAGGGCGATGTGTTTCGTGCGGTTCACGAAGCCGGGCTTGTTCGCGATCTTGATTGCGCTTTGGTTGTCGCAGAGTAACGTGAAGTGCCCGTTCATCGTCACTTTCGCCTCCTGCAGTAGCTCCATCAGGTACAGTCCTTTGCGAACGGCTGCGATAGCGGCGATGAATTCAGCTTCGGCTGACGAAAGAGCGATGAGTTCGTGCTTCTGAGAGTTCCATGAGATGAGTCCAGCAGGTTGGAGCTGAAAAATGAATCTTGTGCGGGAGCGTCTGTTGTCAACACCTCCCGCATGGTCTGCATCTACGTAGCCATGCAACTGCAGGGTAGCCGTTAAGTTAGCTTCGTAGGTGAGGCCGACGTCGGGAGTAGAGATGAAGTATTGAAGTGCACGACGTAGATCCAGCATATTCTCCCCTTCAGGTCGCTTCATGTACTGAGCGAGCTGGCTTGCGATGTAGGAGAGATCAGGCCGGCACGTGATGGCGGCGAGCAGGAGGCACCCCAGCTGCTGCTGATAAGCCGATGATTTTTGAGGGAGAGAGGCGTGGTGTCTGGTTCGTGATTAGGAGGAGGAGTATGAAAGGGGGTGGTGAGACTGATTGGAGCGATGGCGAATTTCTTCGCTAGTGTTTCGGCGTATTTGACGGCGGAGAGGTGAATGGAGGTGGCGGACTGGGGGATGTTGAGACCCGGGAATTGTATAACGTTGTGATTGATCGTGACCTCCAGCTTCTCGATGTCTGCTTCGAACTGGTCCAGTAGCTCCGTGTCGTCGCCACTGTAGAGAAGATCGTCGACGTAGGCGACGAGGAGGATGAATTTTCCGCGCGACTCCTTTCGGTACATCCTGAGGTCGTGTGGAAGCTGCTTGAATCCGAGCTCCGTGAGGACGGTATGCAGGTATTGCTGCCACAGGCGAGGTGCTTGCTTAATCTCGTAGAGAGATTTCTAAAGCAAGCAGACGGCACCGTCGTTTTCTTCGAAGGCATGCGGTTGTTCGACGAAGATGACGGCGTCGACCAGGGCGTACAGGAATGCGCTGCCGACGTCGATCTGGCGAAGTGGTCGCTGTTTGACGGCTGCGATGCAGATGAGGGTGCGCACGGAGGTGTGCCGCCCGACAGGTGCGTAGGTGAGCTCGAAGTCCACCATGTGTGTTTGCTCGAAGTCGCGCACCACCCATCGTGTCTTGTATTTGTCGATAGAGCCATCAGTGAGTGTTTTAATGCGGAAGACCCATTTGCCGCTGAGAATCTTCCTCCCCTTTGCTGATGCTCGAGGAACCAGCTTCCAGGTTCCACGAGTCTTTCGCGCCGCGACCTCCTTAGCCATGGCTGCCTTCCATTTTTCACTGTCGGGGCCAGATAGAGCTTGGCGAACGGTGGTGGGCTCCTTGGGGGAGTTGTGGCGAACGGCGACTGCGAGCCCGAGGATGCAGAGGCCGGTTTTGTTGGTCTTTTTGTACTGCATGCAATCGTAGTCGTGGAAGTTGGTTACTTCGACGACGTCGTCGTCACTGCCGTTGCCGAGGTGGAGGGTGTCTTGCGAAGGGTTTGGTGGTGGTAACTCGGCATCCGGGGATCGGCGCGCATCGCTGTTGAAGTTGTAGGCTTCGCGAGTTGTATCATCGGGGTCGAAGTGGTGCACAGGTATGAAGGTTGGAGTTTGGAGCGGGCTTGTAAGGGGGATGTTGGGTGCGCTGTCAAGCTGGGTGACATTTGTTGCATCCACATCTTTTGCCAGGGCAGCTTCGTCGTATGAGGTGGCGAAGCTGCGGAGTCCCTCGAAGACCCTTTCCAGTGCTGTGTCAGCTTCGCGGTGTTCGTTGAACAGTGGCAGAGTCAGCTTCTCGTAGAAGATGCAGTCACGTGATTTTACCACTTCGTGTGTCGCGTAGTCCAGCACGATCCACTCCTCGTATCTTTTTCGATCCCGAGATGGATGCCCAAGCGAGCTCGGTCAGCAAACTTTCCAGTTCTTGCCGCGTGTGGTCTTTACTGTACCATGCACCCGAACACCCGAAGTAGACGCGTGTCAACTTTTCTGCCCGTCCAGGCCCTGTAGGGAGAATTGTTGTTCTCGAGGCTTCGGGAGGACAGCAGGTTGTGCAGCCGGACTGCATGGTTCATGGCGAACGGCCAGTACCGAGCTGGGATGGTTGACTGCTTCATCAGGGCTCTCATCCTGGTGGCGAGGCTCTGGTTTGTCCGCTCTGCTACTCCTTGTTGCTCGTGAGCATAGGGCAGGGACACCAGGTGTTCAATTCCTTTCTTCCTGAAGAGCTCCTTGAACTCGTCTGAGAAGAACTCCAGCGCTCCGTCTGTTTGCCAGCACTTTGATTTGAGCCCTGATTATTGTTCGGCCCGCTTCATCCAGGGATGAAGCACTCGAAGGCGAGAGATCTGCAGTCAGTGTTGACAGCCCAGACGTAGCGAGTGCTTGCGTCGATGAAGGTAAGCGTGTAGAGTTCGCCTTCGAGGCCTCCCTGGCTCAAAACCATGAAGTCGCTGTAGACCTTGTCGAGCGGTTTGTAGCTGTCAGAAACAAGAAGTGATTGAACTATGAAACATTGGGGTACAAGTATGAAACCCTAGAGTTGTGTACCCCTTAAAGGCTAACCCACTATAGCCTACACAGCAATAACACATATATAATGTTTGACACACCCCCATAGGCAAAGTGGGGGAGAGCAAGGGGTCACAAGACCAGTCAAGAAAGGCAAACAAGCTCAGGGTGGATCACAACGTCACCACACACTCTGAACACAAGTAAAGGGCCACAGGGCCAGTTCACATGCAGAGGCATATATGCAACACAAACAGCAAGGTGATCTCAGCCTAGCAAAGCAAACAGGCAGGTATACATATACAGAGATCACAGTACAGGCAAAGCCTACAGTAAGTGAGGAAAAGTGGGCACCAGCCCCAGCATAGTGCAGAAGCGCTGATGATCACCAGGCTGAAGTGCCTTGGTGAATATATCAGCAGTGTTGGCCTGAGTGGCCACGTAACGCAGACGAAGCTGACCGCGCTACTGCAGCTCTCGAGCCAGAAAGTAGCGGAGAGCGATGTGCTTCGTTTTGTGCTCCAGTCTGTGCTCCTCACACAAGGCAATGGCAGCCTTGTTGTCGACGTACAGCACTGGAGGAGAACTAGGCCGCTCTCCCAAGTCGGTCAGCAGGTAGGTGAGCCAGCGTAGCTCCTGTGCAGCCATGGCTGTGGCGTAGATCTCAGCCTCACAACTGGAGCTGAGAACAGACGACGAGCGAGTAGAACGCCAAGAAACTGAACCAGAGCTAAGGCTGAAGGTGTAACCCAATGACGACCGCTGAGAAGCCTGGTCGTCAACCCAAGAAGCGTCTGAGTGCCCAGTGAGAACAACTGAGCTCCCTCCTCCAAGCACGAGCCCCATGCCCGATGTACTGCACAAGAAGCGCAATACCCTCTTTGCAGCATCCCAGTGCACCTTTCGGTGCCTGCCACGAGCCATGTAGTGGGCCAGAAGGCCAAGAGGGTATGCTAGGTCAGGACGAGTGCAAGTCATCAGGTACATGAGGCAACCAACTAGCTCTGGATAAGGACCACTCGGCTCTACGGACTCATCCGAAGGCAAAGCTGAGAGCGAGTGACCAATAGCCAAAGGAGTGGCCTGTGCTGAGGACCAGGTGAAGCCGAAGCTCTGAAGGACCTGCTGCACCATGTGTGACTGAGTCAGTGTGATGGTGCGGCGTGCTCTGTCCCGGGTGATCTGCAAGCCAAGTTAGCTGTGCAGTTCACCCAAGTCTGTGCACGTGTGTCTCTTCTGCATCTCCGACTTCACGTGGGCGAGAGCCTCAGTGTCAGCAGTGGCAAAGACCAAGTCGTCGACGTACACGAGGATGTAGAACGGCGGCAGCGAAGTGTCAGTGCCCAGAAACAGCGACGGGTCAGCAGTAGAGGGCGCAAACCCAAGTGCCGCAAGAGTAGTCCTCAGTGTGTCGTGCCACTCACGTGGCGCCTGGCGAAGACCGTAGACCGGCCGCCGGAGGCTCCACTGGGTACCAGGAGGAAACGACCCAGTGAAGCCAGGTGGGCGGCGCAGCCAGATCTCCTCGTGCAGGCTGCCCTGCAAGAAAGCTGTGCTGGAGTCAAGAGAGTGAAGCTCGTAGTCCCGCTGAGCAGCAACGTGCAGTAGCACCCGAAGAGTGGTCATCTTCGGGGTGGGGGAGAAGGTCTGAAAGAAGTCTACTCCCTCTCGCTGACTAAAGCCTCGAGCAACGTAACGAGCCTTGAAGACAGGCGGAGAACCCGGCGGCCGCTTCACCCTAAAATCCACATGCCACTGACGATGTTCGCCCCAGGAGGGAGAAACTCGTCGACGTAAGTACCAGTGGACTTCCAGGATGCCATCTCTACGTCCATGGCTGACTGCCACTGAGAGGAGTACTCATCCGCGATCGCCTCAGCGTAAGAGCGCGGGGTCGGGATGTCTGGAGCATCCGGGTCTCCCTCAGGGGCAATCAGCATGGAAACGAGATGAGGCGCAGCGGCTGCAAGACACTCAAGGTCCTCCTGCCTGTCCTCAAGGACGTCCGTGCCTAGAGCACACTCACCCCCGACGGACGGAGGACAGACAGACTCAGACTCAGCAACAAGACTCGCAGCGTAGTCTAGACGACAGCGAGCAGCAAAGTCGACAAGCTCTGCAACTAGGGCAGACGCAGCAGCAGACTCAAAGGAAGGGTCAGTGACAGTAGTGGCCAGGAGACGCGTGAGAGTAGGACTGGCAGCACGAAGAGAGTCAGACTCCGGGTCAGCAAGGACTGGAAGAGAGGACTCAGGAGGAGACGGCAGAGGGACACGCTGTGGAGCAGTGGAAGGACGCAGAGTCATAAAGTGTGTGCCAGGCACAGGTGGAGGACGCTCACGCTGACCACGGCGACCAGTGCGAGCAACACGAACAGGTGACACAGGACGAGACACAGGCGACACAGGACGAGATTCAGGCTTACGACGCTCTGTAAGACCGCCTGTCGGACCAGTGTAGGGTGAAGGACCAGGAAGTGGCGAGGCAGGCGGGAGCTGGGACTGCGACTGGACAGGCGGAGGACACTCTAAGGAGGGAGGAGGACTAGGAGGAGGCGGCTGACCAAGAACCTGCTGAAGGAGCGGATCGAAGTACGGCCGCGGCCGTGAAGTGCCCCCAGAAGCAGCAGAGACAGCACCAGAACCTCCAGCCGAACCGGCACCAGCAGCACCTCCGGCAGCTCTAGAGCCTCCAGCAGCACCGGCAGCACTTCCAGCTGCTCCAGAACCTCCAGCAGCACCAGCAGCACCTCCAGCCGCTCCAGGACCTCTAGCAGCACCAGCAGCACCTCCAGCAGCACCAGCACCAGCAGTACCTCCAGCAGCAGGGCCTCCAGCTGGCGGTACCTCAACACCAGGAGCTCCACTCCTGAGGCTGCAGCGCCGAGCGTACCACTCACGTAGCCACTGAGGGGAGGGAGGCTCTGGCTGCGGCACTGCACCTACGGGGCCACCAGCCCCGACTCCAGCAGACCCCCCAGCTCCAGTAGCCCCACGACGGAGGCTGTAGCGCTGGGAGTACCACTCACGCAGCTGCTGTGAAGAGGGAGCGCCACCAGGCTCAGCACCCCCAGTCTCAGCACCCCCAGTCTCAGCACCCCCAGGCTCCGCACCCCCAGTCGCAGCACCTCCAGGCTCAGCACCCAAAGTCTCCGCACCCCCAGACTCAGCGTCCCCAGTCTCAGTGCCCCCAGACCCAGCACCACCAGGCTCAGCACGCTCAGTACCTCGCGCAGGACCAGAGTCAACAGCTACCTCGACAGGCTCGACCAGGTCTACCTGGGAAACACCTGAGGGAGCAGCACCCTGGGGAGGGAGGGGGTCTACCGACGGGACACCGGGGGTGAGGAAGAGCGGAGGGGGGGGGGGGGCGGGGCAGTGCGGTAGGGGAAGAGACGGTAAAAGGGTACCGACTCGTCAAAGGTGACGTCCTGAGAGGTGAAGACACGGCGCGAGGTGGGGTGGTAAAACCGCCAGCTAGGCGCGTCAGGGACAAAGCCAAGGAAGACACAGGGAACGGCACGGGAGTAGAGCTTGTCCGCGGACGTATCGCGGACAAAGGCTCGACATCCCCAGACCCGGAACACCGACGCATCGCCAACCTCCCCCGTCCAACGCAGGGTAGGCGAGGTCTCCGGAACAGAGACACGGGGCCAGAGGTTGAGCTGATGCGCGGCGTACTGCACTGCAAACGGCCACAGGAAATGGGGGGCAGCCGCATGGATCATGGAGGTACGAGCGACCTCCATGACAAGACCAATGCGGCGCTCAGCAACCCCATTCTGCTGCGGAGAGGCCGGGAGAGTGAACGTCTGGCGGATGCCGTGCTCCGCACAGTAGGCTGCCAAGAGGTCAGAGGAAAACTCGCCACCTCTGTCAGAGTGCAGACGTAGGACAGGAAAGTCCGACTGGAACCGCTGGCGGAGCTGGAGACGAGCAGCGCGGATCCAGGGGATCAAGACATCAGGGACCTCACCCTTGGTACGCAAGGGGAAGACCGTGGTGTAGCGCGTGTAGTCGTCGACAACCAGCAGAAAGTACCGCTCGTGGCCCTGTCCCCGGACGCGGGTGGGGCCCCACACGTCCAGGTGGAGAGTCTGCAGGGGAGCCTCTGTGGGAGGGAACGAGGAGGAGTAAGGAGCGGCGCGCTGCCGCCCCTCGACACAGGGAAGACAGGGAGGAGCAGGCGAGGGTGGCAGGGGAGGGAGAACTCTGGGAAGACCAGAGACAAGGTACCTGGAGTGCATGCCGCGAAGGCGCTGCACTGACTGGTGACCAAGGCGGTGGTGCCAGAGGACAGTCCTGTGCGACAGGGAGCGACATGAGCAGGGGGCCGACAGCTGACCAGACGCAGACGCAGACGAAGCTACCTGAGGGGACCCAGTGGTCAGTGTGTACAAGTCCGACCCCGGCTGCCGAGTGAAGGTAGCCAGGTGACGACCCGTCCGGGCACACGTGCAGTGCGTCATACGCTCGTAGGCCGGGGTGAACTGGTGAACACCCGCGTCCTGGAGCGCGGAACCCGCCACCAAGTTCGTAGAGAACGAGGGGAGGTAGAGGCCCGACAGCGTGCCAGACGGGACAGCAGGACAAGGGAGGGCAGTGGTGGAGGTCGCAAGGACCGGACCCCCAGAGGGGTCAGCCAGGGAGACAGCAACCGGTCTAGGGAGCTGCTCTAGGGCAGTGCGGTCGCGAAAGAAACAGCGGGAAGCACCTGAGTCCAGTGTGAAGGTGTGCAGTGCCTCAGTAGGTGCGGTACCAGCAGACGCAGACGCATTAGCACCTAGGGCAGCAGCCTCACCAGGACCTGGAGCAGCAGACGCGCTAGCACCTAGAGCTGCAGCCTCACTGGTCCCAATACCTGGGTCGGGCGGTACACTCAGGTAACAGTCACCCTCAACACTAATAGTCAATGCATACATAGCAGCAAGGATAGCATCATAATCAAGAGCAAAGATATCAATCCCCTTCCTAAGCAGATCAGCCCAGCGGGGCAGCTCAGAGGCGTCAGGGAACTGCTCGCGCCAGGCGTCGTCGAGGCAAAAGAAACAGCGCTGCGCCGTGTGAAACTTCCCACAAGTCTGGCCAGTGCGGTCACCTGTGCGGATGACGTACGGGCAGGTACCTCCACCCCCAGACCCCCCACGCTGAGAGTACCACTCACGGAGTTGCTGGGGCGAGGGAGTCTCGCCGGGACGCTGCTGCTGCTGTCTCTGGCCACCGCCGAACCCCCCACGCTGCACCGCTCCACCGCGCCCGCCACCCGCTCCACCGCCGCCACCACTGCCACCACCGCCCCCACCACCCCCACCACCGCCGCCGCCACTACCCCCTGTGCCGCCACTGACCCCCCCACCACCCGCGCCACTTCCACCTCCGCCACCACCCCCGCCCCCCCCACCCCCTCCACCGCCGCCGCCCCCGCCTCCACCTCCACCACCACTGCCCCCCTTGCCCCTGCCGCCCTTGCGCCTCCCACTAGGAGCAGACGCGGCCCCGACCCCCTCAACTCCGAGGTAGTCGACAGCAGCAGCAGATGCAATGGAGGGGAGGAGGGGGGAGGGGGAGCACCCCTCAAAGAAGGGGGTGCGGGGGTCACCACGAGAGGCACCTACAGCTACAATGCTCTTCTCAGCTGCTAGGAGTTCCTTCTCGAGGAGGTCGACGGTGAGGTCAGTGGGGGAGAGGGCAAGAAACTGGTCCCTGACTGTGCAAAGGGAGTCAGGGAGGCGGGTGACAAGGTGGTACAGTGTGAGGTACATCGGGGGGGGGGGGGGGGGGTCTTGGCGAGGAAATCGGGGGGGAGTGCGGCACGGTAGCGGAGATCACTAGTACGGAGGTGAGTGATGAGGTCAGCTACAGTGGCAAAGGCAGACAGATCGAGGAAGAGGTAGGGCAGTGAGAGACGGCCTATTGCAGCAGTGGCAGGGGAGGAGTAGCGGGCAACTACAACGTCATACAGCTCCTTAGCAGTCTTATGCTGGCCGAAGTGCTCGCGCTCATCTAACGGCAGGTGGCTGCGAACGGCTAGGCGAGCATGGGCGTCACGAGTCTGCCACTGTGAGCGAGTAGTACTATCAGCAGTAGCAGCAGGTGCGGGAGTAGCGCCAGACGTGTGGTCATAGAGGGAAACATCGTCCTTGGCAGTGATCTGGAGGTACAGGTGAAGATCATCAAGCCAGACATCGAAATTAATCGGGCGGCCCTCGGCGTCAAAGGTGAGAACAGTGGGACTGGCCATAGTGGCAGTAGCAGTCGCAGTAGTAGCAGTAGCAGCAGTAGCAGTAGCAGTAGAAGCAGGAAGAGCAGTTGCAGCAGGTAGGGCGGCGCGGCTCGGTCAGGGCGGCGCGGCTCGGTCAGGGCGGGGCGACTCGGGCGGCGCGACTCGAGCGACGCGGCTCGGGCCTAGGCTCGGTGCGTGGCGGCGCCTAGGGTGCAGCTGGCGCGAGCCGCGGCTGCGTTCTAGCGGCGGCTAAGCGCGAGTTGCAGCAGCCAACGCGCGATCGCCGCGGCGCGCTGGCTGCGACCTGCGGGCGGGCGGCTGTGGGTCGCGCGTCGGCCTAGGGGCAAGCGGCTGTGGGTCGCGCGTCGGCCTAGGGGCGAGCGGGGCCTACGGGCGACGGCCTGCTGGGGCTCGCGAGAAAAAATCGGGCCGCCCTAGGCGGCGGTTTTCCTACACGCTTAAACGGCGGGGCCGCGCTCGGGCTGCTAGCGGGCTGCACACGGGCAGGGTGAGAGGAGAGCGCACGAGGGCGCACTAGGGGAGAGGCGCACGAGGGCGCTAAAAAAAAGGGGCGCACGAGGGCACCTCTTGCGGAACGGTGGGCCCTTAGGTCTAGAATCTAAGCTCTTAATACCATGTCAGAAACAAGAAGTGATTGAAATATGAAACATTGGAGTACAAGTATGAAACCCTAGAGCTGTGTACCCCTTAAAGGCTAACCCACTATAGCCTACACAGTAATAACACATATATAATGTTTGACAGTAGCGTTCATAACCGGGCGGTAAGTCGGGAAAGGGCGTGTGCGCGAGTGACGCAGCGGGGCACACTGTGCATGGCGGATCTTGCGAGAGTGCGGTAAGGGAGCCTCCGCGAGGAAGGAGTTGTGCCCCGTCGTCGAAGATGCCAGCCCGTAGGGAATTCTTGAGTGTTATGTGAGAAGGGTGATCGAGCCGTTGATGCCAGGTTTCGGGTTCCGCACGGTAGCCGACCGCCTTCTGATAATATTTGTTTCTTGCTGGTGCGTCATTTTGCTCCCTTCCAGGTCCTGTATCGGCGGCGTCGTCAGTCTCGGCGGCAAAGGCTTGAATTGACTTCCGTTCCAGGAGTACGTGTGGAATTTCAATGATGTCGTCGGTATCGCCAGCGTCGACTTGGTCGCATGTGATAAGCAGGCACTGATTGGGCCAGTCGCAGACTAGAAGTCCCGTCATGGGATTGCGAAAGTAACTGTACTCGGCCCCGATGACTTCAATCTCCTGGGACCTTGTTCTGGCGGCAGCGGCTCCTCGGTAGGTTCTGGTAATTCTGTTGCTCCGCCGAAGAACTCGTAAGTTACTTCTCCTGAATGGTGCCTTCCGTTGGAAACAGTAAGCTCCCGCCGTAGTACATCCAGATCTGCGCAGTTGTCGCGAGGAGCTCAAACTCGAAGCTCCAAAGGAACTGATGTCTTCAGCTTTGAAGTCATAGCGAATTTTGTTTGCATTGTTGCAATCGTGTCTGAATGTGCGCGTTGTTGACTGTTTTGCGAGGGAGCTGAAGCTTGACGGTTGTCAAACGTGAAGGATCTCTCGGAGTTGACTCGGCGGTCTTCTCCTGGGAGAGGGAGTCCAGTAACTCCACGTGCATAGCTTGAGCCGTCAACGCTCATTGCTTGATGGCTTTCAAGAGCGTTGATGCGGGCGACCAGCTGCTCAACGAGAGCGACGCTGACGGAGGTCACTGCTGATGGTGCAGTGGGTGTTGCTGGTGGTGGGCCTGGAGAATCTGCAATGGCTTTCCCTTCTGGAGCCATAGTAGTGCAGAGTTTGTAATGAATAATTTATATGAAGGTTGTTCTAGCGAAACAATAACTTAGCAGGCCTTATAATCCACTCTAGCTCTCATACCATGATGTTATAACTGAAGGATCGTAGTGGATAGGATAAAGCTGCCAAGTATATGGAGAGAGTGTCAGAATCCCAACCACAAGACCATTGGGATAAAAGGGCTTGTTTCAGTAGCGGGTCAGTGCGCCCATAACCCCCCAGGCGAACGCGCCTGTAACCCTCTACAGGATCAATCGGGCATCCACAGTGCAGATCTACTGACACCCCCCCACACTGGGAGGCCCAGGACTAAGCACAGCGGCAACGGCCTAAATGTGCATACACTGGGAATCGAACCCGAGATCGCTCTGATACCATGTCAGAATCCCAACCACAAGACCATTGGGATAAAAGGGCTTGTTTCAGTAGCGGGTCAGTGCGCCCATAACCCCCCAGGCGAACGCGCCTGTAACCCTCTACAGGATCAATCGGGCATCCACAGTGCAGATCTACTGACAGAGAGAACAGTGAAGTCTCTCTAGTGACCTTTGTCAAACTCATATGTTATAGTCTGTGTAGGCTGTAGTGGGGTAGACAATATGGGGTACAACACTTTTAGGTTTTCCTACTTGTACCCACCTGCTTGCTAGTTCATTCATTTTTCCTCGTTCTTTCACATGGTATAGAGCACGTTCCCTAGTGGGAACGTTTCCTAGGGCCCACTGAATATCGTTCTGCCTGGAGCGCGCTTCGCCCCTGCCCGAGTCGCGCCCCGTGTGCCTACCCTCCCGTCGCGTCCCCTGCCCTTAGTGGCCCGTCGCGCTCCCCTACGGCCCCGTAGCGGCCCCTCTCACGGCCTCTCACGGCCCCTCTCACGGCCCTTCGCGGCCCCTTCAGGCCCCTCGTGGCCCCTTCGCGGCCTCCCTTCGCGGCCCCTTCGCGGCCCCTTCACGGCCCCTTCGCGGCACCTTCACAGCCCCTTCACGGCCCCTTCACGGCCCCTTCGCGGCCCCTTCACGGCCCCCTCGCGGCCCCTTCGCGGCCCCTTCGCGGCCTCCCTTCGCGGCCCCTTCGTGGCCCCTTTACGGCCCCTTCGCGGCCCCTTCACGGCCCCCCTCGCGGCCCCTTCGCGGCCCCCCCTCGCGGCCCCCTCGCGGCCCCTTCGTGGCCCCTTCGCAGCCCCTTCGCGGCCCCTTCACGGCTCCCCTCGTGGCCCCCCCTCATGGCTCCCTTCGCGGCCCCTTCACGGCCCCCTCGCGGCCCCCCTCGCAGCCCCTTTGCGGCCCCTTCGCGCCCCCCCCTCACGGCTCCCTTCGCGGCCCCTTCGCGACCTCGCCCCGTCGCCAGTCACGGCCATGCCGCGTCGCCCCCGCCTCGTCGCGTCGCCCCTGCGGGACCCGCGAGGTGCGGCTCCTGTGCGTCGCGACACCCCTGCGGGACCCGCGTGGCGTCTCCCCTGCCCGCCGCGGCGTCCTGCCCTAACCCGCCCCTGGTGCAGCCGCCACTGCAGCAGCCGCCCCTGGAGCAGCCACCCCTGCAGCAGCCGCCCCTGGAGTAGCCGCCCCTATAGCAGCCGCCCCTGGAGCAGCCGCCCCTGCAGCAGCCGCCCCTCGAGCAGCCGCCACTGCAGCAGCCGCCCCTGGAGCAGCCGCCCCTGCAGCAGCCGCCCCTGGAGCAGCCGCCACTGCAGCAGCCGCCCCTGGAGCAGCCGCCCCTGGAGCAGCCGCCACTGCAGCAGCCGCCCCTGGAGCAGCCGCCACTGCAGCAGCCGTCCCTGGAGCAGCCGCCCCTGCAGCAGCCACCCCTGGAGCAGCCGCCACTGCAGCAGCCGCCCCTGGGGCAGCCTCCCCTGCAGCAGCCGCCCCTGGAGCAGCCGCCCCTGAAGCAGCCG